AAGGAACCAACAGTCTGCATACAAAAAAAAGGCAGACGAACAACCATTACTTTCCGCTGGAGTATGCAGCCGGTGAAAGCTGAGAAGTAGAAGATGAGTTAGCAAAAAACACACAAAGCAACCTGTTAACGCCATTCCCCTTGGGTTTCAAGGCCCCATTTCCATTCTGGAGAAAAACGGAGCCACTGCCGCCTCATTCCCCCTTTTTTAAACCCTGACAAGCATGTCGTAAAAGGCGATTAATTCGGGATTTGCTTCAAACGGACCTGTTGGCTCGTAGGCAAGTTCGCAATGCCCAAGCCACATAAGCCATTGATCTAGCGTACACATAAACCTTATTTACAAACGCATGACTCGTAAATTTACCCTAACCTGAAAGCATGTATGCTTGTATCTTTAATACACTAACACAGAAGGCAAACTCTGTGACCTCTCCACTGCCAACCTGCAGTTCCGCTCACTGGCGCCAGGATCTTCTTGTTGCAGACATAATGTTCTTTCCGTTGCTGGCTTATGCAGCTTACCGCCTGTCCTACCTATAGTGTTACATCACTCTATGTAGTTTACAGGCTGTGATGTTTGCATCTCTCAACACAAAACATTAGAATTAGGAAAGAAATACAAATTTTTCTTCTAGTAAGCTCTGGCTGAAAAGCTTAGTTGTTTGTCCACTTCCGATGTTAGGCCTTGTTCCAGAACTTGAAATATAAGTTCACATTCGCTTTACAGCTGTGGCTTATTTGTTTGTGTGTATACTGCTGGTTCATCACCTTCAGGCAGATGCCCTGTGACTTCAAAGGAAATGCCCTCCCCCCCCCCTGCCCGTAGACCCCAAAAAATAAGACCCGAGAGCCCACACGGGAAGACAAAATCCAGACAGTCGCCTTTATGGCTTGCTTGTAAGGAGCAGTTAGTCTCCCTCCCCCCTCCCCCACAATTGATGCCTGTGTGGAAAATGTCAGATGAATAGAAGCCTGACAGCCCACCCCAGTCGTCAAGGCACGATTCTCTATCTATCTATCTATCTATCTATCTATCTATCTATCTATCTATCTATCTATCTATCTATCTATCTATCTATCTATCTATCTATCTATCTATCTATCTATCTATCTATCTATCTATCTATCTATCTATCTATCTATCTATCTATCTATCTATCTATCTATCTATCTATCTATCTATCTATCTATCTATCTATCTATCTATCTATCTATCTATCTATCTATCTATCTATCTATCTATCTATCTATCTATCTATCTATCTATCTATCTATCTATCTATCTATCTATCTATCTATCTATCTATCTATCTATCTATCTATCTATCTATCTATCTATCTATCTATCTATCTATCTATCTATCTATCTATCTATCTATCTATCTATCTATCTATCTATCTATCTATCTATCTATCTATCTATCTATCTATCTATCTATCTATCTATCTATCTATCTATCTATCTATCTATCTATCTATCTATCTATCTATCTATCTATCTATCTATCTATCTATCTATCTATCTATCTATCTCTATCTATCTATCTATCTATCTATCTATCTATCTATCTATCTATCTATCTATCTATCTATCTATCTATCTATCTATCTATCTATCTATCTATCTATCTCTCTATCTATCTATCTATCTATCTATCTATCTATCTATCTATCTATCTATCTATCTATCTATCTATCTATCTATCTATCTATCTATCTATCTATCTATCTATCTATCTATCTATCTATCTATCTATCTATCTATCTATCTATCTATCTATCTATCTATCTATCTATCTATCTATCTATCGATCTATCGATCTATCGATCTATCGATCTATCGATCTATCGATCTATCGATCTATCGATCTATCGATCTATCGATCTATCGATCTATCGATCTATCGATCTATCGATCTATCGATCTATCTATCTATCTATCTATCTATCTATCTATCTATCTATCTATCTATCTATCTATCTATCTATCTATCTATCTATCTATCTATCTATCTATCTATCTATCTATCTATCTATCTATCTATCTATCTATCTATCTATCTATCTATCTATCTATCTATCTATCTATCTATCTATCTATCTATCTATCTATCTATCTATCTATCTATCTATCTATCTATCTATCTATCTATCTATCTATCTATCCACCTGTTTGTCAATCACTATCTCTAACTAAGCAAGTACACTAACAACTACGCCACTACCGCACGCACACTGTTGCCCTATCTGTTGTATCCTCGTGGCACCGCCAAAGAATATATACATTAATTTCAAACAGTGTTACAATTAAAATCTACTTTTTAATACTACAAATTTTGTGTGGCATAATATAATCTACCTTTGATGTGGAGACGACGCTAAGCAGACTTCAGTATCTTACCATCTTTCCCTCTGACCCAACAACTGAGAACACTTCGCTTTTGTTTTCTCTCGCTCTTAGCGTCTGCCGAAGTGTTTTCGTATCCTTTCTATCCAGCTGGATCTCCTACCCGCTCTTCTACCTCTCTTTGTTTACGCCAAACGATTACAGCTACAGTTTTGCCGCCAGTTCCCGCCATCAGCATTCACACCCAGCTGGCAACGTTTGACTAAATCACATGACAACGAAGAGAAGGGGCTTGTTCCGGTTCGATTATATCTGATTGTTTTCATCGGTCGGATGTTGTAAAGTTGTATCAACAGCGTCTTGGGATATGGAAGGACTTGCAGCCGAGAACCGCCATCATTGTTTCCCCCACAACTTCCTCTAGGGGAGATCACTCCTGAAGGTTTAGGGAATAACTTGTGAGATCCTGCCCACAAGGAAGATGGAAGTTGTAGGAATAACACCGGGGAACTTTCAAATCCCAGCTGACGTTGGAAAGAGGCGGAAACGTGAATTCACTAGGTTATAAAAGGCGAAAGTAATCCCTTAATAGATGTTAATTCAAAGGTGTGAAGTGAGGGATCTTCCCCGTCATATTATAAGGTGCCGGTGCCAGCTCTTTGTCTCACAGTATTTCGTGTTGAAATGGAGGGTCGGCTACCTGGTAGGTTGATTAGCGTGTTTGTTGTTTGGTTGACTGGATGGTTGATTGGTAGATTGATTAATTATTTTATTAACTGATTGGTTTTGGTAAGAGGTCGGCTTAATTGCTCATTTGGTTGAATAGTCAACTGGTTAGTTGAGCTTCAAAAAGTATTTTTTTTTCCCAGAAAAGATCACTACCGATGGTTTATGGGTCGGCTTGTGAAATCCCGTCCCTCCCAGTGTGGATGTGTTTGGAAAGGGGGGGGGGGTGTTGAAAGGATCCACTGTCCCCCTCCTCACCCTTTTTCCCCTCTAATAAAGTTGTCGAAGAATGCGAATAATTATGGGGTTTCCTTTAGTGTCGGAGTGCATCTGCATGAGAAAGAAGGAACCAACAGTCTGCCTATAAGTGAGCCAGATCTGCCAAATGCATGTCCACACAAAACTCAGGTTTTTGAATAACACCAAAGTCCCGTACTGGACGAACAACCAGAACTTCCCTCCAGAGTTTACAGCCGGTAAACGCGAAGAAGAAGCCGAAGATCCTGCCAACAACAAGAGACGGAAGTTGTCAGAAAAACGTGGGGAACTTTTAAATCTCAGCTGACATCGGGAAGAGGCGGAAGGATACATTCGCAGGATAATGTCAGGTAAATACAATCCCTTATTAAATGTTAATGCAGGAGTGTGAGGTGAGGTATCTTTACATCAACTAGATAATAGAATTATGTGATGTGAGTACCAGCTCCCTTCCTCGTCTTTTGTTTTGAAATGGCTGGCTGGTTAAGTGGTTTGTTTGTTCGTTCGTTAGCTAGCAGTTTTGTGTAGATAGGTGGATAGATGGATGGATGGATGGATGGATGGATGGATGGATGGATGGATGGATGGATGGATGGATGGATGGATGGATGGATGGATGGATGGATGGATGGATGGATGGATGGATGGATGGATGGATGGATGGATGGATGGATGGATGGATGGATGATTTGAACGACTGATGTCGCAAGATATAAGATAGAAACAAACACATGTTAGAATATTGTACTTTTCTTTCCTTCCACTAACTCTTCTTCCCTAATTTCTTTCTCCTTCTCTTTTCTTGCAATTTCGTTTTACTTGTTTTTTAACACATCTTCTTTTCCTGCTCCTATTCCTTCTTTCCTTCTCTTCCTCGTCCCCTTCGTTCGTTCGTTAGCTAGCAGTTTTGTGTAGATAGGTGGATGGATGGATGGATGGATGGATGCATGCATGCATGCATGGATGGATGGATGGAGGGATGGATGAATGCATGGATGGAGGGATGGATAAATGCATGGATGAATGGATGGAGGGATGGATAATTGCATGGATGGATGGATGGATGGATGCATAGATGGATGGATGAATGGATGGATGGATGGATGGATGGATGGATGGATGGATGGATGGATGGATGGATGGATGGATGGATGGATGGATGGATGGATGGATGGATGGATGGATGGATGGATGGATGGATGGATGGATGGATGCATGGATGGATGGATGAAGGGATGCAGAACCAACCCCAGCATTTTGTTTTTTTTAGGCAAGTTTACGTCCAGTAGTTTGCCACTGCTGTCTGGACTGTCGGCTTCTTGATACCACTGTCGAAACCAGCGCAAGACGCAAGAACCGCAACAGGAATCGAAACCGTTACCATGGCATTATGAAACGCCGTTTGCAACGCCTATGCCACAGACGCTGATTATACATATATATTGCAATAAAAACTGAAGCAAACTTAGTTGATGTGGTCTTTAATTATTTTGTTTTAAACATTTTAACATATTATAAATAGGTATTATCTTAGCCATCTACATCGTCAATTTTGAATACATAATTTTGCAGTATGTGTTGTCTGCCTAATGACAAGAAGTGGGGATCTAAAATGGTCTTTTCCTGTGCGAAACCACATTTGATAAAGTAATTTCTCGAAAAGAATATCAATAATTGTATCCCAGAGGCCCACAGGCCATGTCAACAACTATGCGCTTGCAGGTCGGGCAGCGCTCGGGTTGGTCATCTTGGACGTTTAGAGCGGCCCGGGGTGGACGCAGATCAAAACCGGATTGGGTGACAGCGCAGCGCTCCCTCTGTGGTAGTGGCCAATCAAAACAGCGCGTGGTTAGCCTAGAGGGAAGAAACATAAATTATTTTTTTTCTGGTTAATTTATCAGCTTTTGATTGTTTTCTAGAAAGAAGTGTCACACTCATTGCATATGGCAAACCAACCAGATAGTCAGTCAACCAACCATTTGACCATTAACCACTGATTTATTCAACGAAACATCAACCAGCGAACTAGCTAAACAATTACCCACACAGCTAAACAATTACCCATACAGCTAAACAATTAACCATACAGCTAAACAGCCAACGAACCAGCTAAACAAAAAAAAAACATACAGCTAAACAGCCAGCCAGTCAACTTCCCAGCCAACCGGCAGCCAAGTGGCGAAGTAAAGCTACATAAACACACACACACACACACACACACACACACAGAGAGAGAGAGACACACACTCCAGTCTAGGAAACTACCAGAATTGCAAACACTACTGACACAACTTAGCCTTCAGCGAAGAGTTGTAATGCAGTGGATACCATCATATTGTGGAGTGCCTGGAAATGAGAAAGCTGATCAACTGGCAGGAGAAGGTGCGACAAAAGTGCAGCCGGATGTACCAGTCACATACTACCAAAAGAAATAATCATTAAATCAATCAGGAAATCACCAGCCCAAGCACAAGACGACGATTTTATTTTGGACAGATCAGAACAAGTCATTATCCTCCGCCGCAGAACAAGGCACAACCGATTATGTAACACATGTACACAAAATTCAATATAGGCGTATCAGCCATGTGCACCTGTGGAACGTGCCATAGACATCAGAGCATGTACTCCAGGATTGCACCGATTTTGACACATTAAGGCAAACCTTTTGTCCAGAAAGAACAACAGTGGAATGTAAACTCTATGGACCACTGGATGAATTAACAACAACAGACAAGAGACAAAATTGCTGATATAGACAACTTTTTTTCAAGCGAACGAAAGAAGAAGAAGAAGAAGACACACACACACATGCTCGCGTGCGTGTGCATTATGTTATGTTATGAATACACCCACTAAGCGTCTTCAGTGAGCTAGTTAGTTGCGTATCCTTTACAGGACGTTGCAGAACCAACCCTAGCATTTTTTGGCTGTTGTGGTTTTTCTAGGCAAATTTACGTCCAGTATTTTGCAAAACCTACTACACGACAGTTGCCTCAAGCATCATATGAAGATCAATACTGAAAAGACAGAAGTCATGAGCATAAGCAGAGAGCAACAGACCATCGATATAAAGATTCTAGATCACAGCCTAAAACAAGTGCAAGAATTTAAATACCTGGGAAGTATCTTTACATCCAATGGTAAAATAGACAGAGAGATTGAAGCAAGAATCCAACAAGCCAACAGCAGGGGAAGACCAAGAAAGAAGATGGATTGAAGGAGTCACGGACAACTTGAGACTTCATAACATCACGGCATATGAAGCGACTGAGCGCGCCCTGGCTCGGTTGCCGATCATCTGATAGACTGCGACGCCTAGCGGCACAAGCAGATTTTGACAAAAGAAGAAGAAGTTTGCAATTGCAACTAGACGGTCGGCTTCTCGACACCACTGTCGAAACCAATGCAAGGCACAAAGCCCGCAGATGGCATCGAACCCAGCATTACGAAGCGCCTCGGCAACGCCAAAGCCACAGGCACCGACACAATATAAGTATAATTATAAAAAAATTTGGGGGTTTGGATAATGACACAATTCTTGACACGGTTTCCAGAGCTAGCGGATGGCTTGACGCCTTGCTTGTTTGTCTGCTATATATCCTTGTGAAAAGTAACCGAATCACTCGGGAACTTAAATGGAGCATTGGTGAGTATGTGTTACTTAAATAAAGTTACTTTAAAGCCACAGACGCCGACCTTTAGTGAGCATGTATAATATATATATATATACATGCTCACTAAAGGTCGGCGTCTGTGGCTTTAAAGTAACTTTATTTAAGTATATATATACATGCTCACTAAAGGTCGGCGTCTGTGGCTTTAAAGTAACTTTATTTAAGTAACACATACTCACCAATGCTCCATTTAAGTTCCCGAGTGATTCGGAGAGAGAGAGAGAGAGAGAGAGAGAGAGAGAGAGAGAGAGCGCGCGCGAACGAGAGAGTAAGAGTATCTTGCCTGTTACAGCTTGGCACAGCTGGGCATGGGTACGTGCAGACTGGAGGGCAGGGGGCGCAGCAGTACGAGCTCTTGCAGGACTGTTCAGACGGACAAGGACCGACGTCGTCAACGCCATATTGGTACTTGTAGTTACAGATCTGATGGTCTCCCTGGCAAGTTCCAGGACCTGAGGAATATATTCATTTCCAAGGCAAGAGTGTCGACTCATTAGACAATTGGCGAATCAGCTATGGGGATATGTGGACTGGCATCTGAGAAAACAGACTACGTTCTCCAAGACTGTCCTAATGCAAAACTTTTGTCCAAGGGAAACACTGGTGCAAGCCAAACTTTAAGGGTCGCTGATTGAATTACAACGGACAGGGAAGTTCATGCTAGAGACTATATTTCAGATATCGATATTCTGTTTTAAATAAACGGAAGAAAAACAAAAAGTTAGACCGGGTGTTATCTCTTATGGTCTCCCTTTGCAGGCGACTGGTTTCTTGAAGAATTTGTCACCAAACTCCGCAGCTTCAGCGACTGTCTCTAGAGCAGTCAAATACGCCCGCATCTGCAAGCCAAAGAATGGGGTAGGGGCCGAACAAATCATCTTCAGAGCGTAAGACGAACTGATAAACAGTTCAGCAACGGAGATTCACATATAGAGTGTCTCCTTCAATAACGATCGAGCTCCGTTCCGACTGATAGGTTGTAAGTCGAAATGGTCGTAAGTCGAGTTTATATTTTTTCAACACTATTTTCATCAAAACCGGTTATAAAAAATGTACACAAACACAAACAAATTCCATCTGTCTGTATAATATATGTGTACGTATAACATGTGTCGACCTCGGTGGCTAAGGGCTTGTGAACACGCTTCGTAATGCCAGGGTGCCGGGTTATTTCTTAACTACGGGCGATTTGGTAGCAGTACGCAACATGCGTTGATGCGCAGCTGTACCGAGAGCTGACCGTTAACGAAGCAATGGCAAACTACTAAATCTAAAATTTAAAAAAAAACAGCCCTAAAAAATTCTAGAGTTTGTTCTGCAACGTTCTGTAAAGGCTACGCAACTAACTAGCGTATATCATGTACGTATAACTTGAAAAAATACATATCATGTACTCTCTGAACTGGATAACTGGTGTAAGGTAACTATGCAATGGATAACGTTCCACTGAAGTTCCCGAAAATAAAAGTGCTGATAAACTAGCTAAGGAAGGCGCAAATGAAGAAAAACCTGACGTACCAGTCTCTTATCAACAGACAAAGAGAATAATCAAATCAATCAGAAAGCCATCAAAACAGGCAAAAGACAAGACGATTTCTGTATTATGGACAGACCGGGGTAAGTTATTATTCTACGCTCTAGAACAGGGTACAATCGACTTCGCAGCCATTTGTGCACGAAATTTAATTTGCGAATTAGCCATGTACGCATGTGGACTATTTAGAGATATTAAAATAAGAATACAAAAGGCAAGAGGAGCTTTCATAGCACTAGAGAATTTGTGGGGGTCAAAAGAAATTAAAAGAAATACTAAACTAAATTTTTTTAATTCTAATGTAAAATCAGTATTTTTGTATGCGGCGGAAACATCGAGAACAACAAGGCAAATTCTAATAAATGACAGACATTCATTAATTGGCGCCTGCGCAGAATAGAGGGAATAAAATGGTATGATAGAATAACTAATGTAGAACTTTGGGAGAGAACTAAACTGGCTCCAGTGGATCAGGAGGTGAGGAAAAGACGCTGGCGTTGGATAGGACACACACTGAGAAAACATGAGAACAGCATAACTAGAATGTCTTTGCATTGGAACCCACAGAGGCATAGGCATATAGGAAGGCCAAAAAAACACATGGAGAAGAGAGCTGGAGAATGAAGTTAGAAAGTTGGGGAGGACATAGAGAGAGCTTCATGAGTTTGTTGAGGGCCTGTGCTCCATTAGGGGTTAGAAAGGCTGAAAAAAGAAAGACATGTGGACTGACACCTGAGACAACAGACGCGTTCTCTTAAACTGTCTAAATTCCTGGCACAACTTCTGAACAACAGAGACAAACTTTGCGTGGAAACCACACTTTCCGGTTTGCCAAGAGTGAATTAGAAAAGAAAGTGAAGTTCTTACTAGAGACAGCATTGCAGAAATAGATCATTTATTTCAAGTGAACACAAGAAGAAGAATGTTGAATTAGGAATAGACATCACAGCACTCGGGACACTCTCATAAATGTTCAGTCCCCATCTTCAGCAGCTAGCGGAGAGTTCCAATTCCGATGGTACCAGTAACCGTCTGATTGTATATCCATCTCATCCTTCCCCTGAGTGTTGAGTGTCGGCCAGATCTCCTGGTAAATCCTCGCAGCACCATTCTCCTTAGACCGTAATGATCTAGCTGTGCCTCCGCACTGTTCACTCCTTCCCAAAGGCCATAACAACATCTAACTTGTCATACATCAGTTCACCACCAAGTTTGTCTGCCTGCTCATTTCCCAACACACCAGCACAACCTCGAGAAAATATCCAAAGGATGCTAACTGACGAGGACCTCTGAAGTAATGCCTGCCACTCTGGACAAAGCATGCCCGTTTTCACCTTTCTCATGTTCTGTGAGTCAGTTACAATCACGGCGTGTGTGTACATCTGATTCTCGAAAGAAGAGGATGATATCATCTATTCGATCTGAAATTATTATTTTATTTATTTATATATTATGCGGTTTTAAGTGCAGGTGGTCGTAAATGGCATAGGTCGAGGAGATTGTGTGCTCATTTATTGGTACGTAAACAGTGGTGCGGGTTCAAACCCAGCTGTGGATCTTTGTTATACCTGAACCAGTGGTTGCACGACATTTATAATCGATATTATCAATAACATTCAATATATTGAGTAATTAGTCTTTTTCTATTGTTTTCTTTAGAATGGGAGTCGCCGTGGCGTAGCGGCTAGACGCTCGCCTGCGGATAGGAAGGTCATGGGTTCGCTCCCTGGAGGAGCCGAAATTATATCAAAAATGACCTTGGCTCCCAGGGCGCCCCAGCCTTGAGTGGGTACCAGGTGTAGTCCTGGGAAGTAAAGGCGGCCGGCATGATGCAGATCACATAACCCATCTTGTGCCGTTGGTCTACAAAATATAGATCTAACTCTATATATCCAATACGCCTGAAAAGCCTTTACTTTTTATTCTTTCTTTATACTTGTATGTTATATAATCCCTAAGCTTAAATTCGATAGCCATCCCCTAGTTCCTGACAAAATTGCAAAATTGATGCATGGAACTGTACGTTTTACAGTTCCAGCGGAAGTCTTAGCACATAGGGACGCATCCGGAGTGCAACAAACATAACATAATGAGAAATTAAAGCTCTTTGTGACTGAAAGAAGGATTTGTTGTTAGTTCGGTGAAAATTAACAACACTAATTTGACCACTTTCAACCTTGGTGCAAACAGCTTTGATTATAATTGTGGTCTCGTTTTATTTGGAATCTGAAATATTTTGGTGATACTAAAAGTCATAGCGGATTAGGAAAAAAAAAATAATAGCAGACGACGTGGTATTGGAAGGAAGGGTAGGGGCCGACCAACACGAAGATGGGCGCAGGATATAAGTGAGTCCCTGGAAATAAAAGTGCGCGAGGCAAGAGAGATTGGCAAGAGACCGAGTTTCTTTCATGCAGACCGTGATGAGAGCAACGTTCTGCAAAGGACCTGCTATATGATGATGATGGTTTTATCTGAGCCCAATCTTATGGCTTAAATGTTTATTGCGCGACGAGTTGTGATTTGTTGTCCATAGTTGTGTCATGGTGACATTCTGAACATATCTGCGTCCTCTATTCTGGTCCATTGGTCCAGATAAGGGCCCTGTTCTTTTTATTTCATATTCTTATGTCTTCTTGGAGTCATTGTTTTATGTGTACTTGTGGCTGTACTCATGTCATCTGTTGTGGTGGTTTTTCTTGCAGAGGTATTGTGTACTGTTTTCTCTCCTTGAGATCTCACCCTCATGTGTGTCCTTATTGGTTGTCCGCTGTCTCCGGTTGCGGGGTCCCCGTATGGTTCGGCCCTGTTAGGGCTCCATACTTGTCTCTGATGGAAGCCGCTGTGGTGTAGCGGCTAGACGCTCGCCTGCGGATCAAAGGGTCATTGGTTCAGGTTCTGACAGAACAAGACTACTTTTAAAAAAATGACCCTGGCTCTTAAGTCGACTCAGCCTAAAATGGGTATTAGGTCAAGTCATGGAAAGTAAAGGCGGCAGGAGTCATGCTGACCACATCACACACTAAGTGCGAATTGGTCTGTGCAATACAGGTCTTTCCCTTTAGGCCCAATACGCCTGAAGGCGTGGAAAAAGGTCTTTTACTGTTCTCTGATCTTCCCCGGCAAGTACTATGTACTGTTACCAGTACCGCTTTTGACAGCGCTGATCTTATAGTGATCGAATCCTGAATCAGCCAATACCTGCACATCGGGGCTGTCCTTTGTTGCGTCTCCATGTTTCCGATACCGGCCAGCTCACTTCCTGTTCCGGAATACATCTTGGGAAGGTCACATCACCAGACGCCGGCATCTGATTCGGCTAGGAAGAAACAGGAAGGCATTAATGATCATAACAGCAGCAGTGATACATACCTTGTGATAGTTAACCAATAAGAAGCGATGAAAGAAGCAAAATATAATACAAGAATAAAATCATTATCATTGTCCTGTTGTACCATAATAGGTCACATAGGGCTTAGAGCCGCGTTAGCGCAGTCGATAGGAGACTCTCTTTCAAATCCAGCTGCGACTCGCTGCAGCCCACGGCCGGTGTTCGAAAGCGGACGGTTCCCGGGGTTGACCCAACCTCTAGGAAATGGGTACCAGAGATGACACTCTGCGGTAAATGGAGGAACGTCGCTGTAGCTACGGAGTTGCGTGCGGACGGTGACACAGTCGGACAGTTTCTTATCAGATGTCCGTACTGGCGGCAGAGCGCTTGTCGTGTATAGACTGTGGATGTGAACAAGTAGAAGAATTGATGGTACTTTCTGGGAGAAACACAAATTAGATACAGAGCTCCTCAGTAGACTGGGGATGTCAACAAGTAGAAAAATTGATGGTACTTTTTGGGAGAAACAACAATTAAATGCAGAGGTCCTGGGTAGAGGGGATGAAAAAAAAAAAAAAGAAGTGGCAAAAAAGATTTGAGACTAGAGAAATTAGTCGGTCACATTAAGAAACAGCATCGACACCAATCGGCAGATCATTTACAGAACGTCGCTCTCGTCACGGCTCGTCCGAAAATCTCTCCTTCTCTAGACAATTCTCCAGCCCTATGTGCTTACATAGTCAATGCATCTTCAATGTCCCGTATTCCCCTTCACCAAGGCTTGTATCTGCCTAGTGAAAACTATGATCCCTCTAATCACCGTTCTCTCCGGGCCATGGTAATGTGTGACATGGCCAAACTACGTCAGCTTTCGGGAAAGGATGCTGTTTATGAGCAAATGTCCCTCGGTGCTCAGATCATGTAGAAAGTCGGCGTTGTTTATTTTTCTTGGTCCGTGATATTTTACGAATTTCTCTGTAGCTTTTTAGTTAAAAAATAATGACGTTTTTTTTTTTTTTTGGGGTGCTATAAAAATATCCTACCCTAAACAGGGGAAATTCACAGGTCACGTGACAGTCTAATATTTCAGGGGGTGGTAGATAGGCTGCATGCAGTCGTGGGATCTAGGCTACATGTACTCGTGGGACCTAGGCTGCACTCTGTCGTGGGACGTAGTTGGTTTGGGGTTAGTGCCAGTTCTAAATGTTGTGGGGTCGTTAAAAGCATCAGAAAGCCAGGAAACCCAGTCTTTCAACAACAAAAAAAGCAAAGGACCCTTTTCCACGCCTGTAGGCGTATAGGGCAAATAGGGCTAGACCTACATTTTTATAGACCAACAGCACAAGATGGGTGATATGGTCAGCATCACGACGGCCGCCTCTACTTTCCGGGACTGCACCCGGTACCCACTCAAAGCTGGGTCGACCTGGGAGCCAAGGTAATTTTTGAAGAAAAGTCCGGCTCCGCCAGGGAGCGAACCCCACGACCTTCCGATCCGCGGCAAGCGTCTAGCCGCTCGGCCACGGCGACTCCCGAAACCCAGTCTTACCACCCTTTAAAATGTTGTGACGTCATCTGGGGGAGGAACCCGTTTTTTGTTTTTTTGTGTTTGTTTTTTCTCCTAGACTGAGTAAGAGTCCATGACTCACATCCATCAGTTGCCACAAGAAAGATGCATGATCTCCAGATTCTCACATTCACTGGCTTGTAGTTGCCGTTTCATAGATTCCTCATGCTGGTCTCTGTGTAGCCTGAGCGAGTCTTTCTTTTTTTTTTTTTTTTTCTGACATTTCTGTTATTGACAGGCAACACAACAAAAAATCAGCATAATTTTAAACCATCGCGTTAACTGAATAGTCTTTAGTTCATAGACTTTGACATAGAATTTTAAATTTAAGTGCAAATTTTCATTAGGCCGTCTTTATTAGTTTTTGAAACATCATGGTAAATGCTGAGTACAGATTTAGCTATTTTCCGTATAAAATAAGACATTTTGAATCGATTTCCGTGAAAATATGTTAATTTAAGCCACCAAAACTAATTTTCCTTCAATCTTTAACTAGTATATACCTATAGAAAGTATTGTTTTCAGCAATTATAATCAAATTCGATTTCGGGTTTAACCTGTCCTTAAAGTATCGTTAGCCCGGTTTGGTAACGTCAGCTCCTGTTGACAGGTTGTGCTGCTGACGTCACGGAGTCGGGCTAATGATGCGTTAGCGCAGCGGCTTTTCAAACTGGGTGCCGAGGCATCCCGGGGTGCCGTGAGCGTATGCCAGGGGTGCCACAGCAATAATCAATAAATGTCGGCTAAAAATTGTGGAACTATTAAAGAAAGCATGTAGATTCTTAAAAGTTAAAATATAAGTTGTCTTCCCTCGCCACTGTCGAAAATAGTTTAATTCTGGTTTGAGAACGCATCGTTAGCCCGACCCGGTGACGTCAGCAGCATGGCCCGTCAGCTGGAGTCGGTCGTGTCATAATCCGACCTGATGCTTGACCTCACCTGCTGTAGAAAGCTGACTACATACAGCACCGTGTGTTCATACGAGGGGGCGGGAGGGGGGGGGGACGGGTGGTGTTTATACTGTCGTCTTTTTTTTTTTTTTTTTACACTAATAATTATTTGTGTGTGGTTATTGCGTGTTTCTCGACAAATGAAACAATTTCACTCCCGTGTGGGTTCCGGGGCCCCATTGTGGGGAAAACAAGAATAGACTCACTGCCTCCCCAAAAGCATGTCGTAAGAGTCGACTAATTGGGGAGCTTCCTTTGAAGTTGGAGTGCATCTGCCGGAGAGGCAAGGAACCAACAGTCTGTATTCAAGAGAATGAGATCTGTAAAACTGATGCACACGCAACACTCAGGTTCTGGAGCAGGACTGCAGTTCAGTAGTGGACGAGCAACCAGAACCTTCCGCCAGAGTTTACAGCTGGTGAACGCGAAGAAGAAGAAGAAAGAAACAATTTCAGAACCTTTTCACGCCCTATGGACATCAGGCAGCTGGTGTCAAACCCTTATTATTAAAGCTCAGTGAGTATTTGATAAGTGCTGATGGTCAGCAACCGGCCGATGGTCTTTACTTCCCAGGAAAATGTCTCTATAATATTAAAGTGTGAGTCCAGGTAAAAAAAAAAAATGGTTTGCTTTAAATTATCATGGAATGATTTCGAACCCACGACTATCAGCCGTGCAGGTATTAGCGACTCCCGCATTTTTTACGGATCTGCTACACAATCTTTGGAGATTGAAAATGGTACATTCAAACAAATGTTTTCTTGGATACATTTTAATTGGGTTATAGGACACGAATTCATTTCCGAAGTCATAATAGCTATGGCCTTACCTGATATGCCACAGGCCAGCAAATATTACCCCGGGGACCATGGTAATTACTGGGTCCTTCAAAACTGTAGCAGTCCTTCTGCATTTCCTTCCAACTTCAGGAGACGATACGGCCCAGCCCTGATAGAACAGTATATGTCAGATTGCAAATAGTAGGGGGCATCAGACTTAAAAGTGTGATAGAAGTTACAAAGACCAACCCATGGTCTTTTGAAAGGTCAGTATTGTTATTAAGGATGTCAGTATTCGAGTCTTTTCCAAACGTTTCTTAGTCGCGGCGCCATTTTTCAATTAAAAAAACTTTCCACGGGTATGACTTCTCGTATGTAATAGAGAAGAAAAAAAAAATCATGTATCTTCAAATATTTTGCGGCTTTCCTGTGAAAAGGTCGCGGCACCCCGGAGGCGCCATGGTGCACAGTTTGGGAATCACCGCAGTAGGGTTGAGCAGGCACGTGACAATACGATGCAGACGAAAAAATTGACGTCATAATGACAAAATAAATATGGCCGCCCCACTTTTGACACTCACCACAGAGGAGCAGCTTTCAGTTCTTCGTTTTTTGGCGGTCAGTCCAGCAAATGTATGTGTTGAGTAGGAAGCTTTAAATCATTGTAACTTCTAAGACAGACTGCTCTCCACCTATTGGGGCACACTTAATAGGGACCTCAGTGTCGATTGCAACCGTTGAAATCCTCGTACGGGGAAACCGCCGATTAACTCTGGGTGACAATGTCGCACAATTTGACAACGGTCAAGTTCAGCACACCAAAGCATCCAGTTATTTGTTTCCAATTAGGCTTTGCTGATGCAAATTCCTTCCTTTCTGGACCAGAAGCCCAACGGTTCCATTGCCGAACTTGGCTAGAATTAGTATCTTTGTCAGCCCCGACAGTCTCCGAGCCACCGACCAACCCTATCCCTAACCCTAACTCTAACTCTAAACCTACTTACTCATAAAACCTAACCTTAACTCTAAACTAAACCTAATTATAAACCCTAACCCTAACTCTAAACCTAATCATAAACCCTAACCCCGATCCATAACACCACCAGAATACTGGACTTTTCTCGGGAACTCTGGGATTTTCTTTGTTTAGGGCGAATTAAAAATAAAGTACCGGGGGGATGTCGGCAGTTTCAATACCACAATGTACCCTCACCCTACCCCACCCCTTCCCCATTACGTATTTCTTGGTTTTATGTTGATCTTGATTGTTTAGAAGCTCTGTTGTCTTGTCTGTTTAATTTTCCAGTCAGAGTTTGTGTTTTATTTAGTGCTCCGCTGACAAAGACTTTGATCGGGACGTTGGGGGGGGGGGGGGGGTGTATTTGTGTGCGTCTTAACCATTCCCCCGTTGAGCTTTCCAGTCACATTTTATTTTGTATTGAGCACTTCTTGTCGGTATATTTGAAGGTAAAGGTAAGGTAAAGGAAGAGGATCTACTTCATTGCACCGGATACTATCCCATATGGCTCAGTCTCTCTTCCGCAGAAAAGCTAGCAACCCGCCGAAAGCGTCACACAGAACACCACCTCCGTAGCTATGGTGACGATCCCCGTAGATATCTGTAAAAATGGCATTCGTGAACTGAACGACACCGCCATGAAGCGAATGACTATGAGTAGCTGTAGTTAACAACACTACAGCAATGGAGCTGAAAGTACTGAAACAAATGAACAATAACTCAAACAAAACTATCAGGTCTATGGGTCTAATTAACCGTCTGTGTCTGAGATTACCAAAAATATTTCAGAAACATACAAGTCAACCTACCGTCTCAGTTCGTCTGCACTCAATATCACCAGGTTTGTATGTATCAAATGATCGAATGTTGATGGGGCGTTGTGGTTTCAAGATGGATATCGGGGCAGGTTTTCCGGTTTCCGAATGTCAACACCTTTTACACCACTTGTCATGACGTCATAATTGTATTTTTTTTTTTTTTTCAGCAGCCATGAGTTATCAACCCTTAGGCTTGGTATAATGGATATCCTAACCCTTCGGCCTTGATTCCATGATAAATACCGTAAATCTGGGAGAAATGTGGCTTTTCTGCCTATCACCAGGCGTGAACCCGGACCACAAGGAGTTCGTCACCAGGTCACAGCGCCATCCAGTTTAGCCAACTATGCTAGCGAGCCGGGCTGTCATAATTGTATAAACGTGTTCTCTCTTTTAGTGGTAATGAGCTCTGCAACTGCAAGAAATGGTGGATATAAGTGTGACGGAAAGGGAAAACAAGGGTTTTAGTTTGAACAGGAGAAAAGCAGAAGTTATGGTAATTACAAAGAAAACTGACCCTCCAAAATGCAACATCAAAGCAGGTTTGGGAGGACTGATAAAACGATGGGACAAGTGCATCAATGTTGGTGAAAAATATGTTGAAAATACATGGTTAGCGTATGTGTAAAAATAAACGAGTTTTAATGTATTTTCCTGTAATTTTTAAACAACCATTTGTGACCTACTTATTGAGTTTCCCTCGTAGTGACTGATTGTTTGATTGGCACCTTTTCGTCTTTCCAGACGATAGTGTTATATTGCTCTATGAGGAGGCATGGTACTCACAGCCCATGGCGATGGCGAGTGTGACTAGCAAGACCCGCCCGTGTCAAGAAAAGTCTTCCACAATAATATCGTGCCCATTGTTGTCAACATTTGTGCTTCATCGGTTTCTTTTTCAGACGCTCAGCTCACATCCTTTCTGAAATTTTTTCCTCCTTCACTCTTATTCCCTTCCGGATATGCCTCATTTCCTTTCTTTTATGCTTTTTCCACACAACAGAACGCGGCTATGCGGGTCATTCTGGGTTGCACCAGAGACACTCCAGTGGTGTGTATGCGATACATCCTTGGTTTGCCGACAGTTGCAGGTAGGCACTAGGTGCTACAGGGGAAGTCATATCACATGGTAGACACAGACCACCCTTTGCATGACAGTCTGGGTGCAGTTAAGGGTCAGCGCCCGATAAGAAGGAGGTCATGTATGGCTTAGGCAGAAGACACAATCCGACAGATCTGCATCCTTGAGAACATTAGGCGAGGAGAGGAGTGGGCAAAGTGCCACTGAACAGTCAGACTTGTGTAGAGTCATAATCACGCTGAGCCGGGAATGCAGAGACTGGCCAGCAGATGCCACGGAGGTGGAAATTCAGCAATTAATTCAAGATAATGCTCGCTCTGAGAATTTGATCATTTACACAGACGGTTCAGTGTCAAGAGGCAAAAGAAGTGCTTGGGGCTTTTTAGACATATGATACTACAACATCCAGCTTAAGAATGGAGGTGGAGGCGGTCACTGCAGCTTTCCGCTGGCTAGAGAACACTAGATACACACACACACACATCGTGATTGTAACTCACTCAGAAAGAATGCTGAGGAAGATCAGAAGAGGTATGCTTCGTGCAGAGTGCCATGCTTTGTTGCCGAGGACACGGGTGAGGAATATTGTCTGTATTTTTTCACCAGGGATGTCGGTGTGTTGGGAAATGAACAGGCGTACAAACTGGCCGGCTCTGAACAACTTGGTGGAATACTGATAAATGATAAGGTAGACGTGGTTAATGCCTTGTGGGAGAGCGTGTACAGTTCGGAGGAGCAGAATGATCACCGCAGTGTGGTGAGATGAATGCATCTGGGAGTGACGAAATGTTCTGGCAGTTGCTCGAGGCTCAGAGGAAGGGCAAGACGGACGTTTAATCAGAATGCTACTGGCACCATTAGTATCTGAACTCTTCGCTGGCTGCTGAAGATGGGAACGTAGCGCTTATGGGATTACCCCCGAGTGCTGTCATGTCGGTTCTTAAATCAAATCAAATCATTTAACACAACATGGTCCCTGACATTTTGTTCCCATGGGTCCACCTCAATACCCGTATCATTCATATCCCGCTTTCACACATCTTTATAGCGGAGTAGAGGTCTGCCTCGACATTTTCTACCTGTATCCAATTCACCATAAAGGATGTCTTTTCCCCTCGTAGTATGAACTTCTTAATACAACAAGCAATTTCCCCCAATCCCCATATTTCTCATTTTAGTGCCTGTTTGGTGATACTCTGTACGCCTTTTCACAGAATGTCCAATATAACGCCGTCCATTTCTTTTCATAATGTTCCTCGGGCATTTTTTTTTTTTCGAAAGTATTTAACTTTGGCCCCACGTCTTTAGTGACTCCAACTTTCACTGGCATATTTCAACACTTGACATTTCAATTTATATACGTAACTTTGTTCTGAAGCTAAAAAACAAAACAAAAAGGAAATAAGTAAGGTCGGGAGATATGAACCAACGTCACTGCACACAGTTATAAACCATAAATGTTTTGTTTCCAGTACGGACAGCTGATAAGAAACAGTCCGCCTGTGTCGCTATCTACACACAACTCTGTAGCTCCAGCGACGTTCCTCTTTTAACCCAGAGTGTTCACTCTGGTACCCATTACCTAGACGCTGTGTGAGCCCCGGGAAACTCCCGGTTTCGAACATCAGCCGTGGGCTGCAGAGAGTCGCAGCTGGATTTGAAAGCGAGTCTACTATTGACTGCGCTAACGCGGCCCTTGTTTTAAAACATACGATACGTTCGTATTTGTTGTAAAACTATATAACTTAAGATTTCCATATTTTGTTGAAGCTTTCAAAAGGTGCCGATGCCTTGCTAACGCATGTTATATTTCTGTCTTTGTAAGAAGACTGTAAACATTACTACTTAAGAACTTAAATTGATCTGTTACTTTAATTCATTTTTTCCCCTCTAGCTTGATCTGTTATTGGCGTCTTCGGTATATTTGTCTTATCATAAATTGTTTGTAGTCCATTTGTAGTTGATGCTGCTGTGGCTAAACCACCGACCCCACTGCTTCGAGATACCAGCTAAGTGATTTTGTGTATCTGTGTAGTATTGTTTGATTTGTATATGCTGATGAAGGCTCCATAGCCACAACGTTCACGTTTTGTTTATATTTGTTATATTGTGAAGCCTGCTAATATACTTTTCGGTTTCATATCTTTTCTTGCACTTTGGCTAAAGCATGTGTTACTTTCTATTCTTTACATGCCGTTTAGACTTGGGTAACCCACA